ACTTATATATCTATACTAATATTGCAAAGAGGAAAGATTTGTATTTTTGTATGTATTCGATTCACGTGAAAACTAGTAGGCTGATTTAAAAAAATCTTTCACTATTCGAAGGGTAATTTATCTGTGAGTAACAAAGGCTGTTTTTTAATTTCACGTGGATGAAATCCTGAGCTTGTCTCTTAAAAGAAAAATCTCAATGAAATGTCGAGTCTTAACGATATGTTGAGTCAAATTACAAACGTGCGGCGTAAACGATTTTCCGGTGACATACATAAAAACAAAAGGCCTAAGCATTAGTTACGTGCGCGGTGACGAAAGACCCGACTGGCTCGCCGGACGCCGTCATTTATAATGTTGCCATCTTAAAAAGATTTCGCTCGACAGTGTGGAATATTTTATCCTAGATACACGTTTGAAATATTTATCCGAGCATCGCCTTAAATAGGTATGATTTATCGATAGTAATAAGTAAACTTGTACATGATTTTTATTTCTATTTCCCAACGGTAAAAAATTACTCCGATTTATGTGGGAAAACCATTTGTAAAAGAAATTCTGCCTTTATTAATGTGATTTTCTAAGTTTTTGTATGTAAGTTAAGTAACTTATAGGTAAAATGTAGCTTTTATTGTATAAAACTTAAATATTTCAATTTTGACTACATTAGTTAAAATGATAACTGTCAAAAAAAGATGTATTTTAGACTTTCGCAATATAAAAAGTCACTTATTTTACACTAGCTTTTGCCTGCGGCTATGTACGCGCGAAATTTAAAAAAAAAAAAAAAGCCTATGCGTTCTTCCAAACTACCATATACTCTACATCTGTACCAAATCATTTAAGCCGTTAAGGCTACAAACTCTAACAAACATCCATCCATCCATCTAAACTTTCGCATTTATAATATTAGTATGATTGAAAACCTGAACTAACTGCGTATGATGGCAAAAGTAATTATTTATTTATTTAGTGGTTGTTGTCTTTGTACTGGCAACCCCAACTTCTGGGCACTGAGCAGTGGATAGTTGGGAAGACGGTTGCTTGAATAGGACCGCACGTGAAGCGTAACAACCATTGTCCACGATTAGTATCGCCACGTTTTCCTAGTTCCCACCACTAGTGACTTCGAATGATCGGGGTTTTTACAAGCGTAATGTCATTAACAAGTAGGTTGAAAAGTTAACACAAGGCTTACACATTGTTTTGTTTTAGATATAATATACTTTTTTAAGTAAATTGCAATATTGAAATTAGCTGAACAATTCAATTCTATAGTTAAAACTAAGTGCGTCGACTCACCGTTACGGGCAATAGAATTTACTTCTGACAATAGGCCGAAGTTCAGTTTAACAATCTATATCTATACTTAATATTATAAAGAGGAAAAAATTTGTATTTTTGGATGTATTGAAATAACTCAAAAACAACTGCGCCGATTTTAAAAATTCCTTTACCGTTAGAAAGGTAATTTATCTGTGAGTAACATAGGGAATATTTTTTTAATTTCACGCATGCGAAGTCGTGTGCAATAGCTAGTAGTAGATAAAAAGAGGCCCTTCTTTTTCCATAAGCTGTGTTGTTGAACACGTGTAATTATTATTCAATGCATGGTGTGTTTATATTTCGGAGTAATGTTACCGTGTACAAAGGCAAGCTAGCGGATATGACGCACACAACTTCCTAGATCAAACGGTTTGCGAATCACCGGGTTTTCCTGTCCACTTGGTTATGTGGGTCATTTTATATAGTAGTATGTATCAGTTTATTCTGATCGTTTAATAAAATGATCTTTGGTTTTAAACCTCCAAAGAAAACAGCTGACTGTAGTTCTTTGACACTTAGGAAAGAAGATAAATGTAGGTGGCTCAATGGTCGTTCCTCTTTTTTCTCCGACTCCTAACTAATTTAAAAACCAACGTCAAAAATATAAAATTCGAGAATAAATGGAAAGGAAACATATTTAACCTCCTTATTCTACACAAATTTAAATCAGTTTAAACTCTAGGCTGCTGCATAGAAAACTACTTACATACTCATAAATATGCGAAAATAACATGCCACAAGTCAATCGGGTAATATTGTTGTGTTTCTTTTACGCTAAAGTTATAAAATTAATCATTGTCATGATGTCCTTTATGCGTAGGAAAGATCTTCCATTTTTTTAAAATAGGTAATCCATCTGCATTCACATCAGTGGTGATAGTTTTCCGCGAGAGTTCTGACGTCACAAAACCACCGTTAAGATTTTGTAATGCGGGTCGCGACACACACAAGATTGCTTTGTTTTAAAACAGGACAGTCTCGGGAACGTGATCCTATGGAAATGGATTCATCTTTTATGTGACAAGGAATTTATCTATTTACACCAAAAAGAATAAACAAGACTGACGGTTGAATTCTGGAACGAATCAAACACGCTTCAATATCTGACGGACGACAAAATTTTAATGGAATTCGTAGTCTAAGCTGCATTTAAGATGCAGTTACATTTAAAAGTCGTTTCAGTATATCACTGTATGTATAAATAAAATCAAATTTTGCCTTATTGTGTAATTTAATCAGACACTAACACTAAGGGACATCCTTATTCGGCTGTTAGATTGGTATTTGAAACTAACATTACGTATGTCATTCTGAGCCCAAGTTTCCTTTAACAAAAAGTTTGTTACGTGAAACATGCGTAAAATTTGATGGTTAAGATTGATCATGTAATAATCAAATTGTCTGAGGTCAATTACCCTAGTTTTATCGAAATTTTCCAACTGCTTGCTGCGGTTTTTCGGCGTTAGATGTCGCTTCAAGGCCACAGGTCGATGACCCTACAGGTCGTTGATGCCTGAGTTCATTTCGGGACACTGGGGGTGAAGCAGAAAGGTTAAGGAAGCCTTATTTACCTCGATGATAGGCGAATTAAAATCCATTGTAGTTAATGGGTTTGTTTTGGTATGGCATTGAACTTTAATGTCTATAGAAAGGCTGATTTTTTAGTTTAAAGAGTTGGATAGGGAAAGTAATATTTTCCCTTTTTTTGCAACGATTATTTTTAGTTTTACTCTTGTCGTTTATTTTTTAATTTATTATATTAACAAATTAATATCTAATGATTATTAAACAACGAAGAGACGGTGTTTCTGTTGGTGTTTGACTTTGGTATGATGTAAAATACTTCTAACTAAAGTTCATGTTTAAAATACCTGCTTGGTTTTGGTTCAAGTGTCTTAAAAGTTTTATCTCTACAGAGAATATTGCAATGGTTAGAACTCTGTCGCTTTCAGCATATTTATCTATACTATTATAGTAAAGCGTAAACACACATTTCTTTGTTGCCTAAGATGTCAGCAGTCACAGTATACTACAATTTAAATGTTTTTAAATTAACACAAATTATAAAAAAGTAGTTAAATGTCACAACATGGGATAACATCGTTCTTATAAGTTGCTTTTCAATTGGCAATGAATAAATCTATACATCTATACTATTATAATAAAGCGTAAACACATACTTCTTTGTTGCCTAAGATGTCAGCAATCACAGCATATTTTTGAATAATTCTTTTTTAATAAAAAGTCCTACACTTACGTCACGCTTTAGACTATATATTTTAATGCCATTAAACTTAGGGGTTAAATATTTTGGATAAAAACCCTAATGTGGGAAAGAGACCATTAGTTGCTGCCAACATCAAGGAAGCAAGGTTGTCATCATGTCATGTCATTTTGACATTTGTAATTGATAATTTGACAAATGTAAACAATAAAATATTTTTTTTATAATTTCATGGGGATGAAGTCGCATGGGAACAGCTAGTCTCTTATAGTTTTAAACTACTTTTCTTTTAAAATCAGTTTCTTTTAAACAGTACAACAAATAATGTGATTTGATTTTTTAATTAACTCACATTAAAGTGTTTCCTACTGGAGAGTTCGTAGACCGCTAAAGTCAACAAGGTATCGACTGGGAACCGAACCTGCTACCAAGCTTATAGTATGTGTGCGATGTTTGCATAACTACTTAGCCCGAGTAAACATTATACCCCTAACAACTATACACGGACCGAAATTACGTTCAGATTTGAACTCTATTACAACGAGATAAGGCGTATAGAAATAATTATTTAATGTGCTTGTTAGATTTCGTTTCTTGAAAAATAAACTCAATTACAATCGGTATAAAGTTTAATTTATTTTTTATGTGTCATTATTAATTAAATGTTAATTTTTATTTGAATAAAAATGAACTTTATTAATTGGAAATTAAGTTTCATTTAACTAAACTAATTGTTAGTTACTACTACTATTATTATTTGGCAGTTTAACGGCAGAATATTAAAAAGAAAATTTAAATATGTAATATTGTCTTATATTTTAAAGCCAGGCTAACACCAAATTCCGTAAAATGCAGTGCTCATGATGTGTTCAAGATTCGTTTCAATGTTCCGCCGTAATGATGTAAGATTCTGTCCTATTTGCATTTGAAAAGAAAGGGCTTTGACCACTTTATTGATTCCATTCTTCAATACTAACAAATTTATTTATGTAAATTTATTTCGCTCGACTTAAATATCATTTAGGTCGTGTCGATCTCGGGTATTTCAATATTGAGACGAATAAGTTACCATAACTTTAAAAACAATCTCTTGAAAAATCTTTAAGGAACAGATAAATATGTTTTACAATTTCAGCTGTGTAACTTAGAGCTTTCTTCAAAAGCTAAGTACAAAACTTGCGTTAATATCAATAACTGATTGTAAATATGAAAATACTTAGCTAAATTTTAGTTCAAATGTTTACTTACGTCTACAGTCGTATAATATTGACGTTATCTGTACACAGACGTTTGTAATTATTTTCTACAAACTTTGAGGTTTGTTAAAGTTAATTTTAAATTGCTTACCCTTCATGTTACCGGGTGGTCTTAGTTTACGATTTGGATGCAAAGCCGTTTTTTAAAGGGTTTCCAAATGTAATTTATATTTGATTGGAATTTCTTTTGTTTTCAGGTCTCGATAACCGGATATCTAATTCGAGGAGTTCAGTTTCGCCGTAAGTATTTTTTTTATGATAAAACATTAGAAAGAGATGGATGGATTGCGTGAAAATAGAACAAGTATACACAAAACCGATAAATTTGCCAATAGGTACATAACTACATTATCAGAAACAATTTAATTAAGGTTATTTTTAAATTACATACGTATATCTAACCTAACTTCTAACTAATATTATAAATGCGAAGGTTTAGATGGATCGGTGGATATTTGTTAGAGTTTGTAGACTAAACAGCTGAACGGATCACAATGAAATTTGACATAGACGTAGAGCATAGTCTGGAAGAACACATAGTTAGTAGACTTTCGTTTTTTTTTAATTCCACGCGGACGGAGTCGCGGGCGAAAGCTAGTAAATTATAAAGCACCACACAAGATCACGTAATTATACATGATACATTTTTTTAATTAGATTAGGTTAAGTACCTACATTATTTCATTTTTGATGTTACTTTTTATCTTTCAATGTTTTTTTTTTTTGGTTTTTCAGTCAACATGTGAACGCGCGTGGTTGCAGTGAGGTGGTGAATAAGGATCTCGGGCTTTCGGAAAGCGATGACGAGGTCGCCGTCACCACGGCAAGGCTTGGACCGTAAGTAGACACATTAGTTACAATTTTAAAATCTTTATCCCAATTCTGCTCGGCTCCTATTTGAAAGCGTTTAAATCTATACTAATGTTATAAAGAGGAAAGATTTGTATTATTGGATTTTTGTATGTATTGACTCAAAAACTATTGTGCCGATTTCAAAAATTCTTTCACTATTAAAAAGCTACGTTATCAGTGAGTATATTTTAATCTCACGCGGGCGGAGTCGCAAACAACAGTTAGTATGATTTAGGAAGCAAATCTATGGGTGAAAATAGTTGTTTTAGAATCTGGAAGTCTTGTTATTGTAAACGCGTATTCATCCATGATAATGTTGATAATCGTTTAGGGTTCAATATCACTTTTAATGACTCATAATTTCAGTCATAAAGGTGTTAATTGCGTGTCGGCGCGGCCACGTGCCTCTTAGCACGTGCGCACTGCAACTCGTAATCACATCAGTGAATATTGTTCTTTATGGCGCATTTATCGCGCCACGTGTTCCAAGCTATTCAAACACATTTTGTATTGAAATCAATGCTTTAATCGCTATATGATAACGAGTAACCTGTTATTATGTAATTTTCAAAGATTTTTTATTTATTTATGTGCGTGATATATAAAGATTTTATGTAGTGTCTAGCGCAGTAAAAAAATGTGTAATTTGTAGTATAAAAATGGTACAGCTTTTTTCGTAGACATTTAAAAACTAATAAAAAAGTTCAAAGAAGTTTGTCTTTTCGACCATAATATTGAACTCTAGTAGATATGTGTTGCTTTAAGTAAAAGGGTTCATGTTTATCTGGATTTTACAAAATCAATGATTCCCCAGACTGAAATCGTATTCAGTAAGGAAAATTCCATGTCTAGACAGTGGTATTTGTTTCAGGGTTGAGTCACCTCAAAGTAATTACGTTTCTCTAAATGTAGAACATTGTTATTTTAATTACTTTTAAAAATCTTGTAAACTATTGGCGTAATTTCGATCGAGAAATAAATAGTTCCCAACTGTGACAACTTATAACTTAGATTTTCAACGCAATGATGCGTCAAACTCTTGTAATCCAAGGACTGGTTTAAAAGATCTCGGAAAATATAACAGTTTCAAATATGTAGCTATAAAAGAAATTAAACTCCAAACAAATAACATACTAGCAATGTGAAAAGGTTTAGGCTAAGCGCCATCTGCGCTCGGCTACCTCAAGCCCGGTGAATCTGTAAATGCCTCTTCAAGGCAAACAGTGACAACTCAGTGACAAAAAAAAAACAATGTGAATAATTGTATTGACTTATAAAGATGACAAAAACATAGGCCCAAGATATGCAGTGGGAAGTAGGAGGAAACTGTTAATACTAATTGGAAATTTTGATATAGCTTTAGCTTTTCTAGATGCTGGCAATGTATGTACAATCACGGAAATCCGCGGTGTTCCACTTCAGGAACAATTGTTCATTGCAATGAGACAAATTCCGCCTCTTCCTACAAATAACTAATTAGATAGCGGTGTGTGCAAACGAAGGGATAATAATAAAAAGACTCTTTGTATTACTAACAGACTTATTTCGTACATATACATATAAGCTGCGTTGTATTTATTTTTATTCTCCTAATGTTCAAATGATTGTAGCTTTTAAGTTGGAACACCGTCAGTTTCCCCAAATGTACAATTGTTTGTTTCTGATGTTCATGGGAATCGAATTATTTAATCGTTAGGTGACCTATTGCTGGTCTTTTATTACCTGTTTGAAAATCTATTTACGCATTAATCTCTTTTTCAGTATCATATCTCCTATCGGCTCCGGCGGCAGTCCCAGTTCCGGCAGTGAATCCTCCCCGTCCGATTCCGAGTCGGAATCATCCTCTAGTGAGTCGACAGCGGCTTGCACGGCCGCGCCCGCCGCGCAGCCCGCGGCCGAGCGACCCTCATGGAGTCTCAGTAACTTCGCCCCTCCCTCACAGCATCCGCCGCAGCACTACGACGCCGGCAAGGATCTCCGGCACGCACTCGAAGATGTCAAAGGCAAACCGGTCAGTTAAACATATAGTTATACTCTCTAAATAAAATAACTCAATCGCATTATAGTTTACATTCAGATAAGTTCGTATTTATTTTGTTCATAACATGCACATGGTTTTATTTATTATTCAAAACAAATTTGAATTTGTTTGCTTACTGGTTGGTATGATAAATAGTTCTCTATGAGATTGCAAGCTTAATTTTTTGGATCTATCCACAGATCGTATTTATCTGCTATTGTTATCAAACGTTTAGAAAATGGAGAGACAATATTTTATTGCATTTAAACTATTAGTAAGAAAGTGGGAATTTCTCGCCGGGGAAATGTAATTTGTGGATTCATGGTACCCTCCTTCAATAAGGTTTATTTCATTCTTTAAGTACATTTTAGGATTGAGTCTATGAATTATATAAGCTGCTAAAGACATTTCAATATGTCTTTCATTAAAACTATAAGATATACCTAAATTAAGATTGTTGTATTTAGTTTACATTGCAATTTGATAAAATACTTTATTGTATATTCAACAGAGTCCAATTTCGGAGTTGTCGGACTCTGAGACTTCGTCGCCGTCGCCCGGCGCGTCGCGGCGTCGGCGCTCGCTC